GTATGCTGAAGTAGAATTTTCCCATTCATTTGAATGGGGCAGAATTTTCAAAATAAAGCTAAATACTTCAAAAGTATGAAGTTTACAAAACTTCTGAATAGTATTATTATTATTATTTTTGTATGGATGCTGAATCAGCATCCATACAATAATAATAATAATAATTGCATAACATATTATGGATGTTGAATCAGCATCCATACAATAATAATAATAATAATAAATAATTGGATAACATTTATGCTTTACAGCATCCACACAATAAATAAAGAACAAAGGACCATAGTGTGGACAGCATCCACACAAATAAAGAACAGGAGAGCATAGTGTGGATGCTTTACAGTATCCACACAAAGAACAAGAGAGCATATTGTGGATGCTTTACAGCATCCACACAATTAACTGCAAATTTGTTATAAAGTTGCCCCACTGATGTAAAATATTGTCTGTGTTTATAAAGAAACCCTGCCTCTGGCAATATTATTTTATCATACTGTAATGTTCCAGGCAGCAATTATTTTCATTATAAATACACATGATAGTTTTTCTTCCCGTGACCCCGTTCAGGGACTAAGCGGTAGAAAATGAGTGAGTAAGTGGCTGCGTCCGAAACCGCCTACTACCATACTGTATAGTAGGCGAAAAGCAGTAGGCGAGGCGAGTAGTATGTCCGGATTCGTAGTATTCCAAAAACAGTAGGCGAAAAGTACCTGGATGACCTACTGCTTCCGGTTGGATTTTGCAGTGTGCATATGATGGACACTTCACTATCCCATGATGCCCCGGGAGAGGAGTTATCCAACGAAGAAGACGCTGCTATGAAAACGTATGTCACGTGATGTATCAACATGGCGGATGTAGTACGTCCGAATCTCATTCATACTACCAGGCTTCATACTATACAGTACCTACTGTTTTAACGGTCAGTAAGTAGGTACTTCATCTCTTTCAGTACGTACTGTCACAGTATGCGGTTTCGGACGCAGCCCGTGAGTTTTTCTTTAATACTAGATTGATTGGCTAGTATTATAACCGTTTTCATAATGGAGCTCCTCCACAGCAGCAGGGGGCAGTAACAGCTGCTTGCCACTGCTACAGAAGCAGAAGAGGAACCAGCAAAAGAAGAGCAGGAGAAGAAGAAGAAGAAGAAGAAGACGATGATAGAAAACGTCACTCTTCAAAATATTTGAAGTTCCGCCTGTGTGGAGCCGTGTTTTCATGAAGATGTCTCAAAATAATCCCGACAAAGACGACCAAACATCAAGTAACAGAAAGACGATTTCTCTACCAATTTCCAGGGTGAGGTTGATCATGAAGAGTTCTCCTGATGTTTCCAGCATCAACCAGGATGCCCTTTTTCTCACCACCAAGGCTACTGTAAGCAGCAGTTTACCGTGGCTTCACTGAACTATGCTAATTTATCACTTCCCTCGTTTGTTGCTGTTGCTAACGGGGGTTAGCACCGTTAGCTTGTGTGATACAAATTTAAATGTAGCTACACCAGTTTGTGTTTGTGCTCAAGCTTCCAGTTACTGAGTTTCTCCAATTGCTGACTCGTCTTGTGTTGTTATTGCTGAAGGAGCTGTTTGTCCAGCACCTTGCTCTCTCCTCGTTCAACAACGGCTCCGGGAAGGAAACAAAGTCCCTGTCTTACAGCGACCTGGCTAAAACCGCAGAGGAGACCGAGACTTTCCACTTTCTCGCAGGTGAGGCCCAGGTACAGTCTGACAGACCTACAGGGACTGACTGAAGCATCTAGTGTTGGTCACACAGGCCCAGGGCCACTGAAACAGTTGTGTAAGTTGTCTACCAAATCACATTATAGTGCATTATAGGTTTTATTTTTTGTGTATTAGAATCAATTAAAATTAGAACATATTCTAGAAGTAAATATTAGTGAAGCAACAATTGTGACAAAACAAGACTGTTTCTGATGCAGTTTTTGAAACCGTTTTAGTTGTAGCTGAGGGAAGCTCATGCTTACTGTGTGACTGTGTTTTGACTCATCTGCCATAATTTAACCAAGGATTGCTGAAACACACTTTCTACCAGAAACAAAATTAGCTTTCATTATCTATTTTCACACTTATGTAACACCCAAGGCGATGTGTTCAGAGGCTGTGAACACAGTTTCCTTGCACTTCATGACTTGATATTTTAGACAGCTGAAGTAGGCCTTCTGTGCTTTCTCTCTACAACAGTAATGGCATCATACAGCTACAGTCACAGGGGATAAATGGATGATGCACTAATGAGCTTAACACAATGCAGTATTCTGTTTTTACCTGACAGATATCCTGCCTAAGAAGATCTTGGCCCGAGATTACCTCAAGTCTTTGGAGCAAATGCAGGAAGAGGAAGCAGACTTTTAAAAAGACACATTTCACATCTTGAAAGATGTTATTAAATATACACATCCTGCCATTCGTTGACAGCAAAATGATTGGCAGAAGAGACATCCCTGAACTTACTCAGTGCTTTCAAATACACTGATAGAGCTCAGCTATAGGGTTCATAGAAAAAAAGTTAGTGGAGGTGAAAGTAAAGCCACACAAGGTTGATGTGAAATCGGCTGAAGGCTCTGAGATCAACTTTAAATGCGACAATACACTTAGAGGAATGTAGAAGTTGTATCATACATCTATGACACATAACTGATGCCAGCAAGCTAAAATTGTAGCAACAGCCTAAACAAAGGAGCCTTAGATGAATGATAATGCAATCACCCCTTAACATTTCTGCAGAATTGATGATTACCTCTAAAGACATCTTTTGTGTAGGCACAAGTACTGTTGTTGCTCATAAATGATGTACTTGAATAGTAGATTATGAACATTATGATTTTGCATGTCGCCCATACAACTAGAATATGTTTGAAGAGTTAGTGGGACCAGTGACTTACACATTTCATGCTTGTTTTGCATGTCAGGAGGATAAAGGTGAACTGTGTTCCCCTTAAAACTTGCAGGCCTGCATGGGCTCTGCCTGTGTAACAGACCAAGATATCACTGGAATCCATTCCACACAGCTGAGGCATATATGTCGTCTCAGTTATTGTTGTCATTAAAAGATGATTGGGTGAACGCTTTATTTCTGTCAAACATCGATTTTGAAAATGAAATTTACTGATGTTACCGATTGTAACTTGTACACAATGCTGTAGATTTTTAAAAGGTATTGTCATGGGTAAACTATAAATACTTGACAGTACAATTACCTCTGTTTTCCGGTGTAACTGCAAAGAAACTGAACATTGTCTTTCCAAATTAAAAACTCACACTCAACCTAATAGCTGTGAATATTTAAAGTGTATATAATCACTAACTGCCTTACACATCATGTTCCTCATATACTTACAAATCTCTTGTTTAGATTTGATATTAAAATAAACATTCATGCTGTCTGATATTTATTTTGTACCAAAATGCGTTTTACACAATAGTTTGAGAAAGACAGACATGGAAATGCAGTTTGTGAGTGTTGAATGATGCGTTAAACAACTTGGCCTTTTATGTTTTGTTCATCAGACCATGAAATTTTCACATGGAACATTTTTGCTAACTGGAAACAGACCTTGAATTAACAGCTACACTTTCATCAAAAAAACTGATGAGGTGTAGCTCTGCAAGTTCCAGGTTACTTTGGTAGCTGTGTTTAAGACAAAATGAGGTGCAAATCAAGTGTGCTATTGTATGTTCTCTTATTATAGACCTGCATAATCCTAAGCATGCATGCATCTGCTATGTTATGCTATACCTGAATATATAGAGCTCAAATAAGGGAAGACAATGAGGCCAACAGGTCTGCGACATTGTCATTGTTGGATGAATTTGTTGAGTCGAAGCTGCACGTGAAGCAGAGTCTTCTCTAAAGTAGAAAACTCATTCTCCAGGTTGTTTGCCATGTGCTCTCTTCCGTTGATGGCATCTCTTGTGTTGGCAAGATGCTCCTTCATGCTGAAAGGGACAACAACCACGAGTAAATGTCTCAGACTTTGACACATTTACACAGAGGCTACTTTGTTGGAGATTAAGAGCAGTTCCAAAAATCCACATTAGAGCAAAGGTACTGAGCTGAATGATAATACCCCACAGCTGTTGTGTCATTGCCTTGTCTCGACCAGATGTCCTGGCAGATGTCTGTTGGAAAACACAATGACTCAGCTGCTTGTCTGGACAGTGTTTCCTCTCTGTCTTTTTTGTCATTCAGTCAGTGTTGTACTTTGTCCAAACAAGTACTGATCCAGTGTTCCTGATTAATAATAATTTTGGACTAACCTCTCAGCTGGTTCTGGAACTGTATTTGCTGGAAATTTAATTGCTTTTACAGTGAGACTGAAAGCATGGTTTAGTGTGTGTATATGAATATACAATAGAAAGCCAAGCCAAGAGTGTGTCCTTCAAACTGGAAAGAAACATTCAAGAAAATCTATTTAGGGACTGTACAAAATAGGTAGATATTTGGAGAGTAGGGGACAGGATTTTAACTTTTTTCATCCCAGATTTGTTGTTCATTTTGAGACGTGTTGTAAAAAGATAGTTAAATGAAAACAATGGCTTATGGTCTTTGTAACAGATATTTGGTAGAAATGTATCCATAGGCCCAGATGGTTTAATTGATTTGACAGACAGTCAGACATCTGAGCTCATATACATCAAGCTACAGCAGCATCTGATGTATGATATACTGTATGTCTTTATTAATTGATGTCCAGTCATGGGGTGGAGGGAATTATGACCAAGTCTATCAGATGACATTATGTGTGCAAACACCTCCCAAATCTCAGCAAACATCAATCAGCCCATCTTGTTAGTCTCATCCCTATTTATATTTCTATAAACCAGCTTCACAATGAGTGATTGTAGTGGTTTGTTTATTCTGTCCCTGGGGTGAAATTGATTTCAATTTTTATTATATGTCTTCTGTTAACTGTGGTTTGTAAACAAGACAAACATGTACATCATATCCCGAGTCTGACAAAAAAAGTCACTAGCATCTCTGAATGTTTCTCCCAACCCAATAATTTTCATACAGTTCCTTAGTTCTTATATCCACAGACCTGATGCAAACTGTAACTGGTTCATAGATTTCTATTTCTCACCTTGTGAGGACCCCCTGCTCCTTCCCCTCTTTCCTCTTCTCCTCCAGAGAGATAAACACCTTCTCCATGGTCTGCATGGTTTCTACAGCACTCTGATGGTCTGAGCGGATCCCTTGGACCTCATCTCTGGCTTGGTGGTTGTAGGAGATCCCTCCCTCCTCCACCCCGCTAGAGGTGGACACAGCCTGCAGGGCAGCCCTGTTCTGCAGAACAAGGAGACGGGACCTGGCAAACTCCTCAGGGCCAGCTATGTTTTCCCAGCAGATTTTAGAGGATGAGGGTAACCAGAAATGCTGGGTGCAGTTAACTGGCTTTCCTGGGGTTTCTGTAACGAAGGGGTTGTCACCAGGAAAGCTATGGAGCAGGTGCAGAAGAGATGATCCAGAGCCCCACTCCCAGTCATCAAGGTCTGGTTCCCCAGACTCTTGCTCAGAGGAAAACATAGGAAGGGGTCCTGCACCCTCTGCTGGGAAGCAGACCCCCAACAGGAGGCAGCAGGACAGGCAGAGCCAGGCCCTGCTGACTGCCCCCTGGAGCATCTCCAAACTGGCTGAAATATGAAGAATCGGACTTTATTAGATTTGCAGGAAAATGGAGCAGATTCATAGTGGAGCATGTATGCATACAGCTGTAATGGCTGGAAGGTCCATTTTCTTGACACAATACATTACATTACTGACAATATAGGTCTTAGCTCTCCTTTTACCTAAACAAAAGAGATTACCGCTTTTTTGTCCTAGTTGGGATGCAAAAGTTAAATTATTGTAAGTGAGACATAATAATCTCACAGTCCTATGCACAATCCCATGCAGTTTGTGGAGGAATTAAGTAAAATAAATCTGTACAGGCAAAATGTAGTTTTACCTTAAAAATAAAAGTGGAACTTATGGTACGTTTAATAAGAAGAACAAAACATTTACCTACAGTGCTATTTAAACATAAAGAACATTATTTTTTCAGTACAGTAATTTCTAGCTACATCTCTAAAAGGCTGCAGCACAAATTTATGTTTTACTTCTTATATTGTTACAGGAGGTTTTACTTTCATTTGGGCAGTTTCGCGAGTTTCCCGGTTCAATAAGTTTGGAAAATAACGGAGCACCTCATTTATTCCGCAACTTCCAAGCGCTGTAGTAACTAACACATCCTGTGTCCTTATAATCTTACAATAAGTTCACCTTTGTCTAGTGTAGGCTACGTAAATGATCTTACCTTGCTAAGAAACCCCAACGACGAAGCTGCCTGTGAGTGCAGAGACGAAGTCTGGTGCCTGAAGTTGACGGAAAAAATGAGTCGCTGGCTGCAGCTCGTTATACTCGATGTGAATCACTGCTGGCCCGGTAACAGTCGGGAGCAAGAGTTTTCCCTTGGAGTCTAGAGGAAATAAGGCACACTTCCCCTGGAGAATGTAAAATATGCTTGCATTCTGGGTGGGTCTCTTGAAACAGCACTGTTTTGCTGGAAAGATGCAGCGTTTGCAAGTATTCTTTGTAATCAGGTCAAAGTGTAAGTGTCTATGCTGAATTGTACTTTGCAAATGTATTAATTTTTAGACTTGTGTTCCTCTGAACTCTATAAGTTAAGACACTGTGGTTGCGGAGGATTGGGAGGTGTGATGCTTCTGGAATTTGCCATTTAACAAGGTCCTGAACAGGAAAAATTTGGCCAGATTTTAAACAAAACATGAAATCATATCTGTTCACTTAAGTAGTTTGGCACACGTTCGCATATGCCTTCAAACGGTATGTTATCCTTTTGTTTGATGGAACAAATCCGTACATCTACCCAAACCTTTTCTGTCCAAAAGTCAAGGAAATTATGGCTAATTCACACCATGGGTGTTTATTTACTGAGTCATTTGAGTGGCGAAGAACCAGTTTCCTCAGTCTGAGGCGAACACCCTGACATAAGCAACAAGGAATGGGAGACATACAGTATTTTGGCACAAACAAGCGAGGGTGTAATCCTAGAGGTGGAATAGACATGAGGCACACAAGACCAGACCACAAATAGTTTCTCAGGATGATTTGTAATACATAAACATGCAAACTCTTAAGAAGGGAGACAGATACAGTCTTGTCTGCAGAGATACTAGCTGGTGGTGGCAGCTGATGTTCTCAAGCTCGGGTAATGATTTTCGAACGGGAATATAAAACCATGGGTATAACAAACACCCACAATACACATAAAAAGTCATAAATATGCCCTCATCTCATAATCATCTATGTAATATGTGAATGGCTCACAAATGTCCAATAAAGGCAATTTGATTTATATTCACAAATAAAAGATGTACCAGAGAGGGTTTACAGTCGGTACGACATGTGACTGCTCTTTTAGATCCTTGACTTGGAAAAGGACAAAATAACTCCATTAAAAACTTTAATGGAGTAGACAAGGAGGAAAATTCTACTGAGCAGCAGCAGTAAAAATACAGTATAGAGACGTAGAAGGACAATTTTAAATATGTAAAGTACAAAAATATATTATAATACAAAATGATCAGATAAACAAAGATGGTAACTTCCTGAATTGGTGTTATATTTATTGTGAAATAGACAACATCACAAGTCGCAGCTAGGGCTGGGCATCATTCTAAAATTTTCGATACTGGTACCAGTACCTTGACTTCGATACCGGTTCCTAAACAATACTTTTTTCACAACCAATTTTACAAAACCAGATAGATAGATAGATAGATTGATAGATAGATAGACAGATAGATAGATAGATAGATAGATAGATAGATAGATAAATACCCACGCACGTGTAGTAAATCGACACTGACATCTAGTGGCACAGACTAGGAACTGATGCCACTGCTTCCTATCAATACAAACACTGAAATTTGATTTGCCTGTTAGGAATTACCTAATATATACCACTGATAATATGGGGTAAGATTGCTAGACTATGTTTAATGCAGAAGAATTTTTTTTTTTTAACTAATAAATTCCTTTACAGTGTGTGCAGTGTCTAGCTCCACATAAACAGCCATGACCACTGCCCACGCCCTAGGCCGTGTCAGTGAGGGGCGGGGACCACTGCGGAGCTCCTCCCCCTGCAGGCTGCCGTCACCCGAGCTGCTGGACTGGAGCAGCTGGGCACCGTTAGCCAGCTGCTGGTTGCTCCTGCGTGCTGGGTGAAGACTCGGTGCAGGACCCTCCCCTTCGTCTCACGGTTAACGACATGGCCTCCGACGGCATGGACGAGCGATCTCCGCTGCTGTCGGGCCCCAACTCCGAGAATGTGACCCCCACTGCTCCCCCGTACCTGCAGGATTCAAGTCCCCGAGGTAAACACACGACACGACATGTAGAGCCTCGCACCCTGCGTGCTCAATCATTATTGCGGCGTATCGAGATTGTGCAAGCGCGTAAATAAACTGCAGCAAGACAAAGCAGCTCAAGGCAAGTGCAGTCAATCTGCATTTAGGTGGCGCTAACCCTGTGAGAACTGGAGCAGAGGGTTAGAGGAGAGGGGCCTACAATAGCGCCACTGTTTTTGCTGCAGAAATGCTTACATCACGACTCACTGGGGCCTCAGTGTTTTGGATCTTGACAAATAATACGAGTCGTGATGTGGTACTGCAAGGCCTCATTGGATGTGGGCTTTGATGTTGTTGATTGATAGGGTGCAAATGACCCACTGCAGATGAAGGCAGGCCAGCAGTCTTTTGTTCCAGTTGCAAATCAACAAAACAGCCAGATGTGCCGTGCCCTTAATGGATGGGGACAAATCAATAGCACAACATGATTTAAATGGTCTTATGTGCATTGCAGCACATTCAAAGCATGTTTCACTATTTTCCCCATTCACACTCCCAAATTCACACACTGGTGATATCAAGTGGTGGTGGTGGTGGTAGGGGGGTTCATTGTCTTGCTCAAGGACACTGACATATGGACTGGAGAAGCCAGGAATCAAACCGCCAGCCCCCTGGTTAGTAGATGACCTGCTCTGCCTTCTGAGCTGCAGATGCATCCAAATAACATAACACCAATTAAATAACATAATGTTCCAAATCTGTTTAATGGTAGCTGTCACTTTGCTCATCCGCATTAATGTGGAACTGTAGACAAATATTTGGTCTCAGTCATGAGTTGTTTTGCATCTTTCATACAGTAAATAAAAAACCCTGCACATTTATAACCAGAAAACTGACGTAGTCTCTATGTTTTGCTTACATCATCATCAGCCTACATCTGAATGTAGGCTACAGTACCATGACACATGCGGACTGAATGACCTGGCTCATAAATCCAGTGGCCGCTCAGCCCAGAAGCCGCACTCAGGTCTGGCTGGACGCTGTCTGATCATATTTTTCATTTATGTAGCAGAGACATGCAAGGCCACACATGCTGAGGCCTCAGAAAAGTTCCCTACTGGGGTTTCCACAAAAACATGCAGATCTGGTTCTGGTGTCAGAGGATTATGTTGTCTTTTATGTCTTGTTTCAGCAAATTGGATGGATTTCTCTTTAAAGCTAAAGTAAATTTAGCTCTGTCCACAAAGTTTTCTCTGATTGTACCTTTTTGTTATGAGTTTAACACAAACAACATTTCTATTATCTGGCTGTTCTGCTGCAAATGAATGGATTCATTGACCATGTAATATTCTTTTAGGAGTATATTGGGATAAAGTCTCGTGAGTCAAATCACGCAAAAGTCATATTTCTCCAGCAGATTAATTAAGTTAAAGACTAACTTAGGACTGTAATAACCTGTAAACTACCAGCCTATTTACAGCAGTTACTGAGTAATAGCCTGAAGAATGTCAGTATATTTCATGGCCTAGTTTCTCCTCCCTCCTTCTTTGCAGTCTGGATTATAGCTAATTCCAATTTCTTTGTATTTGTTGGTTGATGGTCCTCTATCAGCCGATTTCTTGAGCCAGAGACTCAGATGTTTCTTTAAAACACAAAAATTAAAATTTTTTTTTTTTTTTGTTTTTAAGAATTAAACGTTGTGGCCACTTTTTAAAAATGTGTGTCTTCAGCAGAAATGCATGGGTTTGGAGCTGAGTGCCACAGACAGAAAGTAACACATTTCAGTTTTTGGTATTGTCATGGCATTTGTTGACAATGAGAAACATACAGGATTTCTTTAACATTAAAGAGATTTTCATTTCATTCTGCATGGACAGCAGAAAACAAAATTTACCAGGTACCAGGCACTCAGGTCTTCAACACAAACCACATGTCCCACGCTCATCCCGTCAGTGAAGGCACCAGCTAGGCAGGACCTGATGGAGGCTGGGGTGCTGCTGGCGGATGTAGTAGAGCATCTTCTCATCTTACCTCTGGCTCCAAGGACACCTCTAGCTATACTCCGTTCCGGACATGCATTGGGAGTGCACGAGAAAGAAGCAGACAGACACAGGCCTCTCCTTAGACTGGACGCTGAAGGTGGAGCAGAGAGTGAAGTGCTGACTGTATCTGAATTCAAGGTGCTGATGAGAATTTCATCTTGTACTGAATACTTGATTACATTTTGGATGAGCACAGCTTAGTAGAGGATGACTCATCTGTGTTTTCAGTGTAATGAGCACCACCACACAGTAGCTCATGTATTTCTAGCCTGGTTTGCCCAAATGTATATGTGGCTTTCCATCTGTCCCTCTGGTGTCAAGTGTATCTGAATGTCAGAGGCGAGCTAATATGCCTGTTGACTCGCCCCGTTATCTCATTCAGAGCGAGACAAGGAAATTGGTCATGTGTGAACAGAGATTAGAGACCTTATTGTGTATCAAAGGAGGCTGTATCACAGTATGTTTTTGTGTATGATGCCCAGCTTTTAGGGCAGATCAGTTTCTTAGATTGGATGAAGAATGCAGTTAGTGAGATACCTGCAGTCACACACAGTTCATATGGTTTTGTTTCTAAATTTAATAAACTGAAGTGGTAACATCTGAAGAAATTATTTCTCCGCTATAGCAGCTTTGTTGCTCTATTGTTTCTAAAAAATGAGTCTGTTAATTCTTTAGTTGACTGACAGAAAAATTGTCATCTATTTTGATAATACATTAGTCATTTATTAAGGAAAAACTGAATGTTTTTCTTTTTTCTGCTTCTCAAATGCGAGTACATAATGTTTTTCCCTTTTTTTTATGTCATTTTATGTTAAATTAAGAATGTTGGACATTTGAAATGCTGTTACGACAAAACAAGATACAGGTCCTGAAGATGCCGCCTTGTGATTGGCATTTGTAAATATTTCCTAGTATTTTGTGGACTTAACAGTTAGTCTATATAATGTATTAGTTTTACAACTAATCTACTAATTGTGTAAATAATGACAAGTAATAGAATTGTCTGTTAGTTGCAGACCCTATTTTCTCACATTGAAGTAAATTATGCAGTTTATTTAAGCCTGAGGTTTAAGAGAAGTGATAGAAAAGTTAATCTTGTCTTGTGGCCCTCAGAGTGTAAAATACGCTTGAACGCTACAGTATCCATAGTACAGGTAATAACTTATTCTAAGGAAAAAGTTTTTTAGTGCCCTGAAAAACACATGCACTGTAGACCAGGCTAATGTAGGATTAAACAGTACAGAGTTCATTTCAGTGGCTACTGTAGGTAGCTCACAATTGTTCTTTCAGACATGAAGAGAAAATCTTTAATTGTGTCCAGGCCGAACTTTTAATCATGTTGATTGCGCTTCTTGTTTATGTACCATGAGACACTAACCAGTGGCTTGGCTAATCAGGCTTCTCAGCCAAAATGGTCAGGTGTTTATTAGCTCAGTTTGCAGCCCATGCACCCGCTGCAGCAGCTGGACGAGTCAAAGAATTTAAATTTTATAGATGCTGTTACATGCAACAGCCGCAGTGAGAGTTTTATATATCTGCTGGTCTAAATGTTTTTATTTTCACTTCATGAAGTCATGTATTTTTGAACACAGTCCTAAAATATATAAATTGTGGTAAATTACTTAGAAATGAAGCTCAAATGTCACATTATAACTTGCAGAGAAAGCCTCACATTAATAAGACTGTCTTATACTGTGTGTTCCGTTGTATTTTTGTCAGTGAGTGGATTTTACACTGCCACCCCAGTTTAGAGAGCCCATTGTTTGGCTCCTAAACATGGGGAATGGTGCTTGGCCCCTGATGCAGTGAGAAGTCACATGTTGAGCAGTCGGAGCTGTACACGGGCTGTCATGGGTTGTGTACGGTATGAGCAGGAGTCGAGCTGAAAAGCCATGACTGAAGAAAGAGAACTGATATTGTTGCGGAGCACAAGTACACATACTGTAGGATCATTTATTATATTTTCTGAGATTTACCGTATGCAATACTACACCCTGCAGAAGGCTGTTTGTACCTCTACACATTGACTGTAACCCAGCTTTATTTTAACATGCATCAGTATTGTTCAGCCTGCAGCTAGTGTTTATTTTCATTATCCATTAATCTGCATTCATTTCATCTACAAAATGTCCATCCATCCATCCATCCATCCATTTTTCTCCGCTTATCCGGGACCAGGTCGCAGGGGCAGCAGTTTAAGCAAAGATGCCCAGACTTCCCTCACTCCAGACACTTCCTCCAGCTCCTCCAGGGGGGATACCGAGGCATTCCCCCGGAGGAGAGACATAGTCCCTCCAGCATGTCCTGGGTCTTCCCTAAGGCCTCCTCCTGGTGGGACATGCCCGGAACACCTCCCTAGGAAGGCGCCCAGGAGGCATCCGAAACAGATGCCCAAGCCACCTCAGCTCGCTCCTCTCAATGTGGAGGAGCAGTGGTTCTACTCTGAGCTCCTCCCGGGTGGCCAAGCTCCTCACCATATCTCTAAGGGTGCGCCCAGCCACCC